TTTTGGTTAGTCCTCATTCAGTAACATTTTCTAGATTACAACAATTTCTGAGATGTGGTATTTTAACTATTTACATTTTCGAACTGTTGTCCTCATCTTTATTGTCATTCACGACGTTTTCGCCGTTGTATGCTCCGGCGTTCTTCGTTTCTGTTACATACCATACCTATGGACACTAATGTGCTTCTTAGACAGGAATCGAACCTGTAACCCCCAAAGGAAAACATCATTTGATCGGGTGTGCTGTTAACCATTCAGTCACAAAGAAACTGGTTAGCAAAGTCTGAATTACTGTTTATAAGCAGCAAATCTTCGACGATATTTCCCGAACGATCATATCTGCTCAGAAAAGATAATGAGTTTACTAAATACTGGAGTAGAGGTACTGATTTCGCCCAGTGACAATTTTATATTTGCATTAATCCTAATATATATATATCTATATATCTATATATATATATATATATATATATATATATATATATATATATATATATATATATATATGTTATAAATCGTTAGAAAATAGTTTTTGAGATGTCTTTAGATCAATTACGAATGAATAGTGAGTTCGATCCTCACTAGGTGTCCCATACATTCGGCCTTGTGCCACATCCAAGCTACGCTTAGAAAATCGTTTTTTGACCAACTTCGACGTGGTGCAATGATTAGCAAGCCTGTCTCGCTAGAACAATTACGACTGAATAGTGAGTTCGGTCCTCACTAGATGCCCCACACTTTCAGCCTTGTGCCACATCTAAGATACGTTTAGAAAATCACCGATACAAATGACAACATTATCAAAATAACCCGCTATACTGCGGAGAGTCCTGGAGTAGTGACAAGGCAATTTTTACTCGATTTTTAGAGATCTACTTTAAATTTCTTTCCTATCTACAGATTACTTTTCTTCAATATCCGTAAATTGGCATGGCCTCATAATTGAGTTATTATTCGTCAACTTCTCCACAAGTTTGAATTCATAGTGTTCTTTCACCTGGACTGGCTGTCATAAATGTTTAGACTAGCCTGATATTCAGCTTTTAGCTGGAGGTAAGGTAAAAACATGGCTTCCAGCCATTACCACGGCCATTTTTTAGTGAACTGAACAAACCAGACAGGGATTGGAACACAGCTCGTTGATTCCACTTTACTCATAGACAGTTCTTACGCTACCACAGTAATAGTAGTCAAACATAATATAAGGAAAACTAGTAATGGTTCACGAATATTTAATCTATTAATTTATTAATATTATATTAATCTTCCTTTATTTAAGTACTAGTATACCCGTGCCATGAAAAATGACACAATTCTAAAAATTAGAACGTTTTACTGGTGGGATACAAGGAAACAAAGTCTTTAAACAATGTATTGAGATTCAATAAATTGAAGATAAATAATTCACAATTAAAATAGAAGCCAATGAATTTTTCAATTTATCCATTCTCTTCATATTTTTAGACGTTCTATGGTTCATTGATTATTCCTGGTATTGTATGAATCACTTTTAGCTCACAAGTTTTTCCTGTTAAAAATTTTATATGTTTAATATAAAAGTGAAATGGAAATATCTCCCAGATGAAGAAGATTAGCAACAGAAAAATCTATTTAGGGACGACAAAGCCTATCTCAAGACCAAGTTGAAACAAGACGATCACTTAACAGACATAAGTATCTGAATGCCTCACATGAAAGGCTTGAACAAATAAGACTGCAATCTAAGAAACGTAAAGGAACTGAATAATCAAACGGTTCATTTTTCTCGGAAAGTAATTTTGTCTAAATTCAGATAAATATTTTATTTGTATATATTAATAAAATAACTGAGCAAAGTAATGACTGATAAATTTATTAACTTAATTTGATTTACCTCTCTTTCCACAACATATATGATAGGAAATATATAAATAAATATACCGAAAACATGTAAATAGATACACGTTGTTAATTGTTGATGTTTTCGTATAAGAAAATGCGTGTGTGCGCGTGTGTGTTTACGTCTCCCAGCGTATGTGTGATATGCCTCGCCGCTACCCACAAAGGTTTTGTCACTAGCCGTGAATGTTAATCGCTAGCGTCAAGCCCTTTGCTGGATGCAGTAAAGCCCAGAGCATGAAATCCCGATGGAAATAATCCCAAAAGCTGAATGAAGGAATCCACCATGTGAGAAGAGCAAGGAGATGTCGAGTGAAGTGCGTGTATCGGAGAGCAACCATAAACCAGTGTCTCGGTTAGTCAGTGAAGAATTAGAGGAATTGCGACAAAGTATTTTTGTTTAGATGTAGGAATAAAAGTACAAGAAAAGAAAGGAAAGGAATGGAATGAAAATGAAAGAGAAACAAGCGACGAATGCAAATAAAAATTACTTTAAATATTAGAAAATAATATATATATATATATATGTCTCCCTCTCTCTCTCAATATATATATATATATATATATATATATATATATATATATATAATAGCTGTTAAAAAAAATCCTCAAGAGAGCACACGAAAATTCATACTTTCCCTTAAAGAACTCAATAATGTGAAATAGACGCTAGTTAGCAACAGTTTTCTGAAGTACCTTATCGATCACCAGATTTAACTATTTCTAAAGTAACTAACAGTAACACTGAGCATACAGATAAAAAACTATAACATTAAAATGTTCTACAAAAGCAAAATACACGAATTTTCACTTAGAAGCATTACAAAGAAATACACAACTCCAATCGGCCAGAAAAATTAAATTATCTACTACAAAAAATTTAAAACAACTAAACTGATCATCAACAATGACAACACAACTGATAGTTCTAAATTACAGAGAATCAATATCATTTATCAATTCACTTTCTCCTTAAGGAACTGTTTTCCTGATTAAACCAAATGCACGAATAATTATATTGGACACACTACTACATTCCTATCTAGAAGACTCACGTTACACCTGTTTGACCGTAGCTCAATTAGGGCTCATTTAAAGACACACATTGACCTACCAAACTCCATCCAGAGTATACTTGTAGAAAATACAAATATAATAGCCCCAGCAACATGTAAAAAAACTAAAAATAATGGAAGCACTAATAATCAAAAAGAAAAAGCCAACACGCAATAAAATCAACTATGAACACGGCCACAATGTGCTGACCGTGTTTGGAAAATAAAACATTCATATGAATCTACACATGCATAAAAATTCATACATTTCATTAAAAATAAAAAATAAAATAAAACCGCCCTTGATAATGGGTAAAAGAATAGCCGAAAGCGCTTGGATATGCAAAACATTTGGACAATTTTTACACACATTATCTCCAGAAAAGAAAAGAAACACAAGAAAAAAAATTAAAGAAAAGGTTTAATCGCACCACCTCGTCAGTTGTCTTTCATAATATATATATATATATATATATATATATATATATATATATATATTATGAAAGACAATATACATATATATATATTCAAAGTCCGACAAAAATGTATACTCACTTCAGGAAAGAAATGACTTGTTTTTCTTAGTTTTATCAAATTGCGATAAAAATGTCTACCCTAGTATTTTCTCGACAGATGGCATTACCAATATGTCTGTAGCATCAAGAAATCCTAAAGGATGCTGTGTATTGCAGGAAACCAACTACATTGGTGGCTCTTAGACAAGAAATTGAAAATACATGTGCAGCAATCCCACTGAACACTTTGGCCAGCGTTGCCCAACCTGTAGTTTACCGTACTAATAAATGCCTGGAAGCTAAAGGTCACCATTTTTAGCATCTCTTGTTTTTTTACAGGCCTTTTATTAATCATGTGATGGCTGAATAAATTTAGTATTACAATTAAAATATTTATATATTTTTTCTTTTACTGAATTGTGTATACATTTTTACTGGCAGCCACGATACTAGATTATCCGATTTGCGAGACCATCAGAAGTTAGGTAATAATAGACACCATGCTAGGCATAATTTTGATTTTATTAATACCACCCTAATTAAAAATAGACCATAATTCTTTAAGGAAAAATTACTTTGAAAGCTTAATAATAATATTATTAATAAACATATGCCTAAAACATTACCTTACACCGCCATCTTTCTTTGAATCCATTCTTAAAGAATATAACATATATATCTAATACAAAGAATACATGCTTAAAGAGATCGGCCATTAATTTTAATCATGTGACACCCCGCTGCACTAGCTTACTGCACAAAAGTGAAGACAACAGAACTCCCAGTAGACAGACACACATGCACAATTAGGAATACACAATACCATCCGATGCCCGCTTAGACATACATGAATCTTCACAAACTTATATATATATATATATATATATATATATAGAATTATCTACGGTTTTAATGTAGATGATACATGATTGACCAATGAGAATTAACACAAACAAAACTGAAAATACCAAAGTTCTTTTTGTCCGTATTCTCTCAATCTCTGACGAAGCTTTAATAAATGTGAAATATGTTAAACTGATATACATTTCCTATTTGCTTTTTATCTTCTCATATATGTGTGTGTGTTTATTTTCGAATAGATAACAACAGCCTCACGAAAAAATACTGAATTTCGACCAAACAAACCACTACTATTATCTCGCGAAATAAAAGGATATCTACTAACTGTATTGTCGTCTGTAAGAAATAATTCTTCTATATCATCAAAATAAAAATTTCCAACGAAATGTAGCATAAAAGAAATGGAATATAAACACGTTATTAGCAGCCTTATCTCCTCGATTTATTAATGAAATATATCGTTGTTATGATGTGAAAATGAGGCATATTTGTTCATTGGTATTGGGTCATCATCTTTATAATATACTACTTGAATATTTATGAGAAGATCAGGCTGCGTAACCGATTAATATATGAATTATGATTTTGGAATATTTCTGTAAAATATATGAACTATGTATTAAAGATGTGTTTCGAAATCGAGAATCATTTACATTTTTATACATAAATTCACATTGGGAGAGTAAAAGTTGAAAATTTACAAACAAATTTTGTTCAGATGTAATAAAACCGAAAATGTAAAAGTCATTAATATTGTATTTATATTCACCTACCGCTATAAACTGTTGTGTAAGTATAGATGTGGAATAATAATCAGGAGCATTAAGGTAAGTTATAAAAGTAATAATTAAAAGAATTGAAAGTTTTGACGTTTTTCTTGAATAAATCCTACTCGTTATATATGTAATCATTGGAGGGAATGAAAGGTTTGACATATTTGTTTAATAAATCCTTCTCGTTATATATGTAATCATTTGAGGGAATGAAAGGTTTGACATATTTGTTTAATAAATCCTTCTCGTTGTATATGTAATCATTAGAGGGAATGAAAGGTTTGACGTATTTGTTTAATAAATCCTTCTCGTTATATATGTAATCATTAGAGGGAATGGAAGGTTTGACATATTTGTTTAATAATTCCTATTCGTTATATATGTAATCATTGGAGGGGATGAAAGGTTTGACATATTTGTTTAATAAATCCTTCTCGTTGTATATGTAATCATTAGAGGGAATGAAAGGTTTGACGTATTTGTTTAATAAATCCTTCTCGTTATATATGTAATCATTAGAGGGAATGAAAGGTTTGACATATTTGTTTAATAAATCCTTCTCGTTATATATGTAATCATTAGAGGGAATGAAAGGTTTGACGTATTTGTTTAATAAATCCTACTCGTTATATATGTAATCATTAGAGGGAATGAAAGGTTTGACGTATTTGTTTAATAAATCCTACTCGTTATATATGTAATCATTACAGGGAATGAAAGGTTTGACGTATTTGTTTAATAAATCCTACTCGTTATATACGTAATCATTACAGGGAATGAAAGGTCTGACATATTTGTTTAATAAATCCTTCCTTTTCTTCTTTGCCGCCCTCAACAAATATCTTTATTGAGAGTCTCTATTCTTATCAATTCATTAACGTGTTTGTCTTAAAAACACAAGCCTAAAGCCTAATCTAAATTCAAAAAGTAATTTCAATGTTCAATCACTATAACCAATTGTTCTAAAATTAAAAGACCTTTACTCGAAATTTTTCCTTCTTTGTCTTCTTCCAAATTTTTATTTTGTTCTCTTTCTTTTTTTATTTAGAGTTGTTTCTTTTCTTTCTTTCTTTCTTTCTTTCTTTATTTATTTTTTCTTTCTTTCTTTCTTTCTTTATTTATTTATTTATTTATTTTCCTCTCCTTTTTCTATTTCTTTTTTTCTTTCTTTCATCTCTTTTTCTATTGTTTCTTTCTTCTTTCTTTCATCTCTTTTTTCTATTTCTTTCCTTCTTTCTTTCTTTCTTTATTCACTGTTTTTTTCCTTTGACTTACGTTTCTTTAACCATTTTTTTTTCGTTTCTTTTCCTTTCGTTGTTTGCCGCCTTTTTTCTTTCGCTTTTTTTTTTATTCGTTTTTTCTTTCCTTCTTTCTCCCGTTCATTGGAGGATCTTATGAATTTCTTTCCTTCTTTTTCCATCTTCCTACCGTCTTTAAGTTATTTCTTTAGTTCTTTCTTTATTTCTTCTTTGTTTTCTTCCTTTCCTTAATTCTGATTCTTTCTCGCTTTCTTTCTTTCGTTCCTTTTCTCTTTTTCTTTCTTTCTTACTTTTACACTTTCTCTCTCGCTCTCTTTTTTTCTTTCTTTCTTTTTATGTTCCGTTTCTTTCTTTCTTTTTATGTTCCTTTTCTTTCTTTCTTTCTTTTTATGTTCCGTTTCTTTCTTTCTTTCTTTTTATGTTCCCTTTCTTTCTTTTTATGGTCCCTTTCTTTCTTTCTTTTTATGTTCCCTTTCTTTCTTTCTTTTTATGTTCCTTTTCTTTCTTTCTTTCTTTTTATGTTCCCTTTCTTTCTTTTTATGTTCCCTTTCTTTCTTTCTTTTTATATTCCCTTTCTTACTTTCTTTCTTTTTATGTTCCGTTTTTTTCTTTCTTTTTTTTATGTTCCGTTTCTTTTCTTTCTTTTTTATGTTCCGTTTCTTTCTTTCTTTTTTATGTTCCGTTTCTTTCTTTCTTTCTTTTTATGTTCCCTTTCTTTCTTTCTTTTTATGTTCCCTTTCTTTCTTTCTTTCTTTTTATGTTCCCTTTCTTTCTTTCTTTTTATGTTCCCTTTCTTTCTTTCTTTTTATGTTCCCTTTATTTCTTTCTTTCTTTTTATATTCCCTTTCTTACTTTCTTTCTTTTTATGTTCCGTTTCTTTCTTTCTTTTTATGTTCCCTTTCTTTCTTTCTTTTTATGTTCCCTTTCTTTCTTTCTTTTTATGTTCCGTTTCTTTCTTTCTTTCTTTTTATGTTCCCTTTCTTTCTTTCTTTCTTTCTTTTTATGTTCCCTTTCTTTCTTTCTTTTTATGTTCCCTTTCTTTCTTTCTTTCTTTCTTTCTTTCTTTCTTTCTTTCTTTTTATATTCCGTTTCTTACTTTCTTTCTTTTTATGTTCCGTTTCTTTCTTTCTTTTTATGTTCCGTTTCTTTCTTTCTTTGAATGCCTTTCTTAACTTTTTGGTTCTGGTTCTTTACTTCTTTCTTTTTTCTTTTTCTTTCTTTCTCATTTCTTTCTTTCTTCGCCTAAACTTCTTCCATATACGCCCACACAACCCATCCACCTGCTCCTTGGGCTGCCACTTGAAAAGTCAAACTGACGAGAGCAAAGACCACATCTCAAACCAAAAGTAAGACCTGAAGACTCAAGACTTGCAAGAGAATAAAAACACAAAATGTTATCGTGTTTACCATTTAAGATTCTCCTGTTTTAGCCTAGTGCAATCTCTCATGTCAACCTCTTGGCTACTTTGTTGTGTCTGCATAAAAAAAAAAAAAAAAAAAAATTGCAGGCCAATAAATACCGATGCCCAAATCTGCACTTGTCTGCTTTCGTCCAAGTTCATTTTTTTCGTTTTGTTTTCACTATTTGTGCTCGCCTTTTCACCGGAAGTATTTGGGCGGGAAAACCAATGCCAGAAAAAAAAAAAAAAAAAGAATTCGTGTTTGGTTCTTTTCATTGTAGTGGTAATCACATACGATTCTTCCTTTCTTTTTTTTTTAATTTTGAGATTTTGTCGAAATGTCTGTTTTTGTGCACGACGCGTCTAAAAAAATGTTTTCGCTCAACGCAAACAGGAAACGAGACAATTGTCTCCTTGGAGTGATTTCCTAGTCGATTTTTGCTAAAGGCTGAGGAAATAATTTTAACATAATATAACTACGATCAAAACATTAGTAAACACTAGTACCAGAAGTTTTTAACGCCTGTTTCAGTGAAAATGGAAAAAAAGTTCACCATTTCAAATCTTTTAATTTGTACCCACTTCTTAAAATAAGGGCAGTTTATATGCAGCACAAGGCCGAAAGCCTGGCGCAATCAGTGAGGATCGAAACCACTACTTATTTTTCTAGTGGGACAATCTTGCTAACCATAACACGACGTCGAGGTCCTCCGGTTTTCCTATTTATAATTGCTATCGCAATATTTTGTTAAAGTTGTTAAGCTCAAATATTTAACGATGCGATAGGGTGATTTCTACAGGTTATTTTATTGTCGTAGAACTCGGGATGAGCTTATTCAGCTCTGATGGGGTCGATTTGGTGAGCTCAGTATGATGTTTGAAAGACCCGAAACTGCCCAATGATCCATTTCCAGAACATCACTGACGACGCCCTCTAGCGCTAAAAGAGCGCATATTCAAAACTGAAAAATTATGATTCATCAGAAATTTCAATGAGGAAAACTGTGAAAATTTCCCGGGTTATTATCAGAAGCGCAAAGTGAAAGAAACAGAATCGAAAAAGCCTGAGTTGCTTTCCACAACGACATCCATTACACTAACCGCCCCCCCCCGCACAAAGGTGTAGCCACTAAAAATAAATATTGCCATTTTGTTAAGTGCCAATTTCATAGACATTTCTAGAGCTATCCTAAAAAAGAATTAACAATAAAGATTATTATCATTATAATTCTCCCTCCTTAGTTAGCACGGTCGTTACGCCCTGCCAATAGAAAATGGACTATTCCGTTTTGATTGAGTACAAAGACAGAAAAAGAATTATCAGAGACGCTACTTGGTTTCAGTGAAAAAAAGGAAGGAAAGAAAGATATAAGTATTTAATTAAAATGGAAAAAATGTTATTTTCAAATCTTTTCATTTGTACCCCCTTACTTCTTAAATAATGATCATTATTTATATGTATGATTGTTATTGCAATATCAGGAGAAAGTTAGATAAGTTCAAATATCTAACGATTTTACTACAGATATTTCATTGTCATAGAACTCGCCATGAGCTTGATCATATACTAACTTAAGAATTATGATTCATTAGAAAATTCAAATAGGAAAACCGTGAAATTATCTCGGGTTAAAACTAATAAAAAATAACTGAAGAAATACAGAAAAGAATTATAGGATATTAAAGGAAACAAATAAAAAAGCAATATATAATCGAAAGATATATATATATATATATATATATATATATATATATATATATATATATATATATATATATAAAACGACTGTGGATCAACAGACTTTACTTCCAAACCTAAAATAAACCTGGAAATAAAAGTCTGTTGATCCACAGTCTTTAAAAAGGGCTGTGGTGAAATAATTTATTACATGGAACCTTAAAATTGGTCTGTTTTTATTTAAATTATTTGCTCTGGATTTACATTGAGCTCTCTGGATTTTTATTCTCCTTAAGTTTACCCATACGGATTACCTAGTTTTTCTTAAACTAATATAACTAACTATATATATATATATATATATATATATATATATATATATATATATATATAACCGAAGAATTGAAAAGAACTGAAAACATTTTTTAAGCAATTCACCCCAAGCAAGGCGGTAGTTCCACAAGTACGCAAGCGGCTACAAAGATTTTAAGTAAGAGAACAGATTGAGTATATGGCGGGGTTTGAGGAGAGGATGAAAAGAAGAACGAGAATCAAGGCATCAGAAGATGTCGATTGACATTACATTTAAATTTTTTTAAGATTATAGCTATCAGGGAAGCAAGTAAGAGGAAGGTAATTCCACTGTCGGGAAGCGTGAAAGTAGCTGTTGGAGTAGAAGAGGCGGTTACATTTAACTGTTTCGACAGTAAAAGGGTGGGGCCAAGGTGCCAACCTAATAGCACGATTAAATTCATACAGCCAGGGAACCAGTGAAAATAGTTCGTCAGAGCAGATGCCATGGAAATATTTATAGAAAAGACGGAGGGAAGCCACATTACGTCGGTGAGAAAGTGACAGGAGTCGAGACCCCAAGTCAGGACCGATCACATTGCATATCCGTCTCTGGATTTTGTCTTGCACCTCGAGATGAACAGCAGGGGCACCAGACCCTATATGGCAACTGTATTCCATGCATGGACGAATGGTAGAATTCTAGATGGGAAGGATGGACTCTGACGAGAGAAAAAAAACTTCTGGCACGGCACAGTGAACCAACTTTCCTTGCGGTAGATGCAGCTATTGATTCATTGTAGTTGTTCCACCTCAGGTCAGTGGAGAAGGCGCTCTCGTGGAGTTGACCATCAATCCTGCTATTAGGAGGCAGGGATGTTTCTCTATGCTGGGTAAATGACAGCAGTTTCGTTTTGGATGCATTAAAATTCACAAGAAACCAAATATTTGAATTCGCAGAAATTGTAAGACCGGCATCAAAAGAAAAATCGCAGAAATACAAAAAATGTCGACAAATTAACACGAGCAGAAACGAGAAGACAAACGTATCAGGGAAGGAAGGAAAGGAGAAATGCTGGAAGGACTCTAAACTAACGTGTGATATCCGTTAATCCAATTAAAAAAAAGGGTGGCAATAAAGAAAAGACGAAGAGAGAGGACTCAACGTGTGACACTTATTCATCTAAAAGGGACATGGCGTCTATTTGCCTGTCATTGATGGCCTTTTCATACTTAATTTAAGACACACAATGCCACATAATAAATCGTTCACCGTTTACTACGCATGTTGTCCGATCGGTTTGCGTTCTGTTCACTTTTTTTTCTTTTTGAATTCATTCCTGAATATCAGCGTTAGCGGAATATTCCCTTAAGAGCAAGAGAAATAATAATAATAATAAGTCCCAGAAATTTTCGAATATTTTCTCGATTTTACAACTATGTTAATCTACCATAAAATCTATAAAACAAGACTCGTTTCGGAATATGGAATATATTCAGTGACATGAACCATAGTTGTGAGTTTAATGCAGTACTGAACAAAATCTTGGAGAGTTGAGTTAAAATGGAGATAACTGAGACATCCAGAAGAGGCATGGCACGTGGAACTAGACAAAATATTGCTGTAAGTTTGTCTAATATCAATCTTCCGATATCGCAGTGAATTAGTTCTACAGAAGGATGCTGAGAATACCATGGACAGAATCTCAAGAATTAAGTCCCAGAAATTTTCGAATATTTTTTCTCGATTTTACAAGTATATTAATCTACCATAAAATTTATAAAACAAGACTCGTTTCGGAATATGGAATATATTCAGTGACATGACACAAAGAGTTGTGAGTTCAATACCTATCTACTGCAATAGTGAACCAAATCTTCGAGAGTTGAATTAAAGGGAGATAACTGAGACATCCGGTCCATATTCTATAAAGAATTACATAACGTTAAACAAACTCTTGTTAATAAAAGATTCCTTAATTCTCTTAATGATCAACAAATTAAAATGTATCACAATAAACTTAATAATACCTTTAACGAAATTGATAACATTAATACTAATTGTAACCGTAAAATTTTACGTAAAAAAATATGGATAATTTTTGCACATACTTACCCACAATAAACGGGAAAATGTAATAATATTAGAAAAACTACATACACACACACACACACACACACATATATATATATATATATATATATATATATATATATATATATATATATATATCGAATAGGCTACTTAGTGTTATACCTGATGAATTGCATGAAACTCTGAGTAGCAGAATAAGTCTTATTATTATATTTAGGATCTGTCCATTTTGGTATTGAGCGTTCATTTTATTTTATATTTTAAGCATATAGTTTATATTCTGCTTCAGCATATATTCTTAATACATACATATATGTATATATATATATATATATATATATATGTATATATATATATATATATATATATATATATACTCTTGTGCAAATTAATTGAAACAAAATGTGTAATTCCTATATTATTTACTTTTTTCGTATTTTTCCAATGAAACATGACCCAGAAGCACACTCTATTACTTCGTATGTCCATTCCATAAAATCGTTCCTTGCAGATTGACCACAGATTCTCGATTGGTTTTAAATCAATAGAGTTTCTGGGCCAGTCTATAGTACTTTGATTTGCTCACTGGTAACGCTTTCCAGTATGTTCGTTCAGTGTAACAATTTTCGTATGCTTCCTTACGTCCATCGCAGACAATGTCCATAGGACAACTAATCGACAGTCGAGACGATAGT